GCAACTCAATTGAGTGTGTCCTAAAAACAAAAGGAAATACAAGTTTTATCTCTTGGTGGATATTTTTCCATCTTAGTTTGTGCCTGCAAAGGAATTGAGTGTTTCTAGGTGACATTTAAGTGCAAGTCTAACATTCCTCCAGTGATGAATATTAGTTTCATTTATTCTAACTTTGTCTTGTGGCTCTATTTCCATGTTTTTCTGCACATCCATCAATTTTCATTTCAAAGCTACTTGTAGTGTAAGTCTCTGAACAACATTTGAAAAGACAACTAGACACCTAAATTTAAGTAAAAATTCAACCCCATATAGCGGTCTAAATAACTCAACTGAGAGGACATTTGATTAACAAGAGATGCAATGTTACCTATATCACTTGTTCCTCTGCCCAATAGCTAGAAAGTTTCTTATAATATGGATTGAAGGAGTCATCCCATTGTAACACTGGAGCAGTCATCTGAAATTATGTCTTGCTTGGTTCTCCTCCATCTCCCACAAGTGCAGGAAAGTGACTCAGGCAGGGTGGACAGTGTCATTTTTACCAGGGTCTGACTTAGATGCTAGATATGATCGATTCTCTCTTCTCAGGCTGTAAAGATCATGTGAAATATGATGAGTCATCTTTCCCACCACACTGAGATAGCCTTCTAGAGAAAGAAAACAATGCAGAGGAGGGACTTTGAATGAGAAAGAGAGACAGACAGACAGACAGACTGAGCCAGATCCTAGAGGATGGAGTTCTCATAATATCCAAGATCATCTCCTGAAACTTTTTGACACATAAGCCAAAGTTTATGCCTGATTAATGTGAGTTGATTTCTGTCACACACAATCAAATAGAGCCCTGGATATTACAAAACAATAACCCACATGAACAACATCATGGTTATAAAAACACACGATAGTGCAGCAACCACAAATAATTTCAGAATAACTCAAGCCCTTCATTTGTTTTCTTGAACATGATGAAGGGGACAGAGAACCTTAAAAATCCCCTTTTGCTTCCCCCGTCCAGTGGCTCACATGCCGCAGCTGTTTCTGCTCCTTTACATCTGTCTTCAAATTCCAGTCTCACATCAAGATAACCTCCTCCCCCAAATTTAACCTTTTGAACTTTTGTTCTCTCTTCCTTTCCTCCCTATTCTCATGCCTAAAGCTCAAAAGACCTTGTCTGTCAAAGCAGGACTCTCAGGGCAGGACTCACCTCAGAGCTCAAGAAACCATGTTAGCAAATGAGGGAAGACTGGGAACGTCCATGCGCGCTTCATTTTTGTCCCATTGCTCCCCTTTTAAAAATGTTATAAAAAATGTTATAAAAATGCTTAATTTTAAAGTTACACAAATGTGGTTTAACCTTTGTTGGCTTGTTTTTCCTTGCTAACCCAATGTCTTCCACATACATATTAGATACCTCATAACAAGTTTTTGAAAAAAAGAAGAATTAATGACGAGATGAATCTCTGAATGAACAAGAAAGGAATGTATGAATAAATGTAAAAATGAGACATTAGAGATTTGGGGGGAAATTATTACTGGGAAATTAGAGACATGATCAATAAATGCTGGACATGGAGAAGATTAAAAAATACAGTTCTAAAATCCAACTCATTCTTTCACGTACATAAAAACAGAACAAAAAAAGAAAAGAGCTTTGAAAGTAAAAGCAAGTCATATATATATGTATACATATATATGTATATATATAGAAAGCTATCTACAATTTAAATAATCCCAGTGGTAGCTGTAACCAAGTGTATTAATTAGAATTCTTTGCAAGCCGCAGAGAACAAATCTGAATAAATAAGACATAAATGTATTTATTGGAAGAAGTATGTTTTACTGACCCAACAGTCATCTCCTCCCTCTTATCTTTGTGAGCTGCACACTAGTTTTGTTCATGGCTCTAATTATCCCTCACCCATATGGTTCCAAGTTAGGTCTTAACTGAATAGAAGCCATTTCCATCCCTGCTACTAGTTTATGCATATATGAGATGTGTGGGAAATTCTCCTAATGGGCTTCTGGGAAAAGCTTTCCTTACTTGCAGAAAGAGACCCAAGCAAGAAAGAAAAATCCCTTCTCCTGTGTCTGAAAAGAGGGATGTGGTGAAGATGTGATGACTGGATTTCTGTAGCCTTCTTGTGAACATAAGAGGATAGCCAACGGGAAGCTAACATATCAGGATGAAAGAGTGGGATGAGGCAGTCACTCTACATCCACATTTCTTGTTTCTGAAATGATAATTTCCCCAGAGCAACTCAGCTGAGCCAGGTTTTTCTGTTTTTCTGCAACTGACAGAATCCCAGGGATAGAGAACCATATCAAAGGGAGGCTGGACATCTGAGCTTGGGATTGGGTGGAGCCCCAGAAGCTGTGGAGGTTAGGAAGCAGAACCCAATAACAGCTGCTGCCTTTTGGTGAAAACAGTCTGGTTGGGCTGCGCTAGGTCAGGTGAACTCTTTTTGTTCCTCTCTTCAAAGCAAGTTTCAATTCCTAGGCCTGATAATATTCAGTAAAAGAAAGAATTAATTCCTCAAATCGGACTTTAGATTCTAATACAAGGTTAGGTAGATGCTGAACAGCCAAAAATATCAAGTGTCTACAACATCAACAAATTAGCTGGTTTCTCCCAAGATCTCCTGTATTATGGGTTTTCTTGTTTCTTAGTATTCATTCTTGGGGGCTTCCATTTCTCCTAATCATCTTCTGTCCTTATTTCCTGCTTCCATAACATTCTACATCTTTATTTTAAATCATGCCTTCTGCAATGTCACTCTCGTCTGCCTTGTCTATGCCTTCATTCCCCAAATGTGGAAATAAATCAAGCCAGTTTTGTGTCTCAGATTTTCAGTGGAGTTTTGGGGTTACAGATGGAGATTACATTGGAGTATAAGCTGAGAACTAAGTGTAATATACCCGTCTAATAAAAAAAAATTAATAATCAACTATATCCCACCATGGGGAATTTGTTGCTGGATATGTTAAGTTCTAGCTCATGTCTCTCCATCCTATGACTATTTTCTTTTCCTCTCTACCAGGTTTTTTTTTTCAATTTCCCCAAATTCCTTTAATTTCATAAACAGAATATTTCTCCATCTCGTACTCAAAATCAACCTTGTGGCCTTACGCATGCATAGCCAAGAACTCATTAAAGAGCTCTGTCAATGGGTTTCTATCCTTTAAAACACAAAGCATTGGGATAGCTTGGAATTAGTTTTTTTCTTTATATGATACAACTTTTAGGATGTGCTTCTCTCTTTACCAACCTCTGTAAGCAGAAGGGGGGCAATTTAAAGATTTATTCTTCCCCATTTCACAGAAAAACCTGTGGGGATTGTTTTGTTTTTTCTCTTCCTTTCTTTTTCTTCTTCTCCATCCTCCTTCTGCTACTGCTCCTTCTTTTCCTTCTTCTCTCCACCCAGTACAAAGGCAGTGACTGTAATTGATTCTTACGCCCATAATTCAAATGAAGAACAAAGTATGAAGTCCAGTCTGAAGGAAAGGGGGAAACCGGGTACCGTGTGATACGGCTGCTAGTCCCAACTCTGCAATGTACTAGCAGTACGATTTTGAGTTGCTTCTGAAGTCTGGGATTAAAGCTATGGTTTACCTATATCAGAAGGGTATTAGCAAGACTAAATTAGATGATGGATGAAAAAGTACATCCTCAACTATCAAGGACTACCCAAATGTAAGAGAACGAATACCAGATAGTGAATTCCATCGCTGAAAGTCCATGAGAACGAAGCTGCTGACTGTCTGTGATAAAAGGCAGGAATTCAATCAAAGAGCAAAGAACCCGGGGACTGAGACTTTGGGGCGCCAAGGTCAGAGTGGGGCCAATAACAAGACTTGACTTGAGATGGAGCGCTACTGGAATCCTTCTATTTCTCTTGCAGAGGCAGATTTGATCTCTGAGGTTGCTGCAGGTTCAAACTTAAGAAATCTTACTCTGCTCTTTCTCCTTTAAGGCTGAAGGAGCAAAGAGTTAATTACCTTGTTATATTTGTCTCTCTTCCAAATTTTCCACATGGGCTTTTTTTCTTAATTAGCCATCATATGAAACTAGAAGAATATTTATTATTTACTGTGTGTATTAAATTTTATGTCTTTTCTTCTTAATTCTTAAAATGGGTAAATTTACTACTTTTCATATTTGTCTCCTAAAAAAAGCAATGTTTTTATTTGTTGTTGTTATTGTTGCTTTTATTGTTTAGTTGTAGTCCTCATTTGACTTTTCTTTGGGTCAGTAATTCTTCATAAAAAACAAAATGAGAAAACCTTCTGGCGTGCTTTAGATTAATTGGAAGAAGCAAATAGTTTCCCCATACGTTTTCTTATTCTTAATGCTTTTCTTTTTATCGTTTACCCAATTTATATATGATACCTAGAAATGCCCACTGAGTATTGGTTAAATTATATGGCTTAACTTCAAGGCTCTGTAGTAACTTATTAAAGTATATTTTATAAAGTGATTTTGGTCATCAAGATAGCATGACTATACAACGACTTATGTGCATATGTGGCTTGTTGCCATGGTACTAAGTCAGCTCCAAAGGAAACATGAAATGCACACCTACATGCCAATTTCAATCTCAATTATATATCTACTGCAATTCATTAGACTTAGGGATTCCAAAGGGTTTATACACTTAAAGACTTGCTTAACTGGTTTAGAATTTAACTGCTAGCCAAGGTACTCGGAAGGAAAGCATTTCTGAATAATTCCTCTATTTAAAATCTTCTTTATTTTTACCCCGACAGTAGGTAACATATAACAATGCATTATACATAGTCTTATTTTGTGTGTGTATGGCTTACTTCTATATCATAAATGCTTTAAAAGCAAAGAATGTCTCTACTCCTCCTTCCCCACCTCCTAGTGCGGATACGGATATCTAATATAAGTTTCTCTTAAAAACGTTAGGCTTGACGGAATTCCCTGGCAGTTCAGTGGTTAGGACTCTGCGCCCTCACTGCCGAGGGCCTGGGTTCAGCCAAAAAAAAAAAAAAAAAAAATTTGGGCTTGAATGGAAAAACTGGTCCACAAGTATCAATCAAGGTTCACTTAAGAGCTCCCCATAGCTGTTTAATATCTCAATGCAACAATCTAGGTTTTATTTGGAAATGATGATGATTTTAATATGTCTTAGGCCAGTCAAAGCAATTTTGAAAGCTCTGTTTGATAAGCTTCTTTTATCCCAGTTACATCTTTTGCTTCTCTCATCTCCCTTCCCCTCCACCTTCTCCAATTTCTTTCTTCTGTATCCCTCACATTTCTTTCTGTTTTGTACTCTCTCTTCTACTCTCTACACTTCAGCAATTACTTAGGGAAAAAAAGGGTCTGGCATTTTCCTATTGCAACTCAAAGGAAACCAAGCCTGAGCATATCTCTATAACATAAAGACCCAGTGGGTTCATTTTTTGGGGAAAAAAATCCGACCAGAAAGGAAAAAAATCCAGATTTACAAAATGTCACAATTAGATTTTTTAAAAAGTATATATAGTTCAGCTTGTTTACTTGGAAAAGGGACTCTTAATGTTCTTAATTATGTGTAAGTAAATAATCTAGGTTGATAGAATTTTAGAGGAAGCTGCTAAAACTAAAATGTTTGAGAAAACAGATATTGCTCAATGGACAAAGAAGCCGCTGTACACAGCGCCCGTTGAAAAAACTGAGAAGTAAAGGACCCATAACCCCCACAGGTGACTGGGAGAGTGTTTTGATATTTCTGCAGGTGTTTGTCTATAAAAGCATTTCAAGGTGTAGCTTTCTACTGATTCGACCTTGCTAAAAATCAATCTAGGAACTGTCATTTGCTAATCAACGTCTTTTTATCACATTTTCCAAACCTTTTTCAGGACATGAGAGTTTTTAGTTCCTCCTTCTTGAGAAAGAGACCCCCTCATGGGAGACCCTAAAGCCACCTCTGGACTTCGACACTATGTCTGCCCTGAATTGAAGGCCCTGTTGCTGAATTTCTCCAGTTTGCAAAGCAAGGAATTTCGCACTAAACTTGAGTTTCTAACTTAAAAATAAAACCCCAAACCTGCTCATCTATTGCAGGTAAATGTACTCCCTTTGTTTCATGGTATGCATTTAGATGCATTTGAAATAAAAGGTGAGTTAAATCAGAAATCTTGGGGACAAGCATTTACTATTTTAAAACAGAGAACGTCAAATGTTTTTCAACCCAGTACCAAGGGCATTTCACAGGTAATTTCTCAGAGCTGCTGCTAGCTAATTATCAGCTATCATACCCTCCCTCCCATTCTAAGTGACTATCTCCTGGCAGAAAGACACAACTAGGAGTGTTTTGTTTCATTTGTCCTTGGAGTTTTTATCAACATCAAGAAGGTAGACTGAGCCAAAGTTAGAAGAATTCTGGAGCTAAGCAAAAAGCGACACATTTAACAGCCCCCATTAATTGGGGTTGTTACATGATTAATTTGAGAAAAACAGAAGAGACCGATTTCTTTACAACTCACAGTTGGATGCAACGCACTAAAAGTAATCCTGTAAACTACATTTTAAATCTTCAACATATTCCGAGCAGATAAATTAGTGGCATGATTGACCAAACTCCTTTTAAAAGTACACATATTACGATGCATCATAGTTATAAACAGATGGTATTTGGCCTCCTTCCTATTCTCAACATTTGGAATTTCTAAACTATGTGAATTAAACAATAATATTTTATAAACATACAAGGGATTTTGCTCACTGCTTTGTTAACATAGAAATTATACAATGCTGACATTTATTTAAATTTTAAAAAGTAAACAACAGTGTGCATTGAAATAAAGCAAACTAAAATCAACACAGAGAAGTATGTTCTGTGTGCATATTACCTACGATGGCACTGGCCTTTTTAAGGGAAGACATGATGGGTTGAAGAACAAATGGTAGCTTAGATGGGTCTAATCCTTTGTACTCCAAAGGCTCATTTAACACCTCTCTGTAAACAACGGATATTTATACCATAATTGGCTATTTGACCATCATTGTTCACTTACTGTATAACCTGCTATTATGGAGTTAAAAGAAGTTCCCCTTCATTGGCTCATCAGCTCTCATAGTAGTGAAAGTGTACTCGCAGTTTTGAAAACACTTCCACAAACGGGAATCATTCTGACACTTCTACTCAGAATGAGAAACATTATCATTATATCAATAAGTATGTATTTTTTTCTTTGGGGGATATTATTGCCAGAAAGAAAAGGAAATGTATCAGATCTTAAGGTCATTTACTGAGATTCCTTTCTAAAATTACAGTTTTAACCCTTTGGCCACATTTTGGAAGGGAGACACATCTGCTGAGTTGATGTACAAAATAGAAGGCACTCGGTTTTCAAACACTATTCTCAGATTTGCAAAGTTGTCCTGGGATGTATAAATAATAAATCAGATATTTCAATCTGTTTTATGGTTTTTGAAAGCCCTGATTATCATTGTTTAGAGACATTCTCTTCTCAATGCACTTCCCAATTGTTCTTGTTCTAGCTTCCAAGGCTGGGCTTAGGTAGGCCACCTTCCCCTACCTCGGTTTACTCCTGGCTTGCTCTTCTCACATTTTAAACAAACAATCAACCAACCTCTACGTTCAGGTCTACAGTTTGAGGACCATTTCAAACCAGAGGGGGTAAAATCTTGAGTGATAGGTGCCAGCGATGGTCACCAACACTCCAGGCTAAGGTTCTTATATTTGGTCATTGGAGTGCACCACTTTAGCCTACAATCTCTGTTGGTGGGAAAGAGAGGAAAGTATGCTACAACTTAGATGGACAGAAAAGGAAAGGGCTCTGCTGAAACCAAGAACAAAAGGCATTTTTCTCTTAAACATACAGTTTTAAATGTGTATATGCAAATAAATACCTAATGATAAATAGTAATACTAGCGGGAAGGAGGCCCTTTTAAAAACATAGATGCCTCAAAATGATATTAAACGTTTTCCCACGTTTTTTTGGAAATCAGTGTGATACTTCTAGATATTCTCCTACCCAAACACTGCTTAACCTCTCTGTCCCCCACCCTCTTTGCGCCTTCTAAATAAACAATTGGTGGTCAGGAGGAGAAACAGTTTGCAATCCAAAACACAGGTATGAAGTGAAAAGAAAGGCGACCTGAGGGCTGGCAGTGGGATTGAAATCACAAGTCTGAATATATGAGAGATTCGAAGAGGAGTATTTTAAAATTAATAGCCAGAATCCCTGCCTGGAGAGTTCCCGAGCCCATCCCCACTCCCTTCTCTGTTTTTGCTTAAGTTACATTTTTTAAAAAGGACAGCGGGGAGAGAAATCATTCTTTTTGCTTCATCTTTGTCGGATGCTCTCACTGAGGTATGAGACTGGCCGACTCAAGGAACCAAGTACAATAAAATACTTAGACGAACAGAGAAGAGTTCTGCCCGCCAGGGCTACGCCGCCTTCCCGGAGGTGCGGAGGGGACCAGTCAAGCCCGGCGCGAGGGAGCCAGGGCAGCACTGGGCCATCCGCCACGTGTGCGTGTGTCAGCATGTGAGTGTCGGTGCGCGCGTGCCGGGGTGCGTGCCCGCGTGTGTGCGTGACAGTGTGCGCGTGTCGGACTGTGAGCGCGCCGGCGTACGCGTGCCGGCGCGGCTTTGCCCGGGAGTCCGAGCGAGTTGTGAGCGCGAGCGCGGCGGTCGCCCGGGGCTCGCTCGGCCCCGCCGCCTGGGACGCGCCCCGCGGCCTCGGGGCTCCTCTGGCTCTCGGCTCTGGGCTCAAATGCCGCCGAGGGGGCTCGGTGAGGACTCCGTGACCTCGATGTCCCCCTGCGTCCCGTTTTCTCTCGCCGGGAGAGGTGTAGAACTACCTCCACGCGCTTTGGCCGGGATCGAGCGGGGCACTGAGGGCGAGCGCCGCCGCGGACCGGAGCTCGGGCACATCGGCCCCGGGGAGAGGGTGCGCGGCGAGCGCCCGCATACCCTGGACCCGCCGGACCCTCGGCCAGCCCTTCGCGCTCTCGGAGGCTCTGGCGCCGCTGCCCCGACGCTCGGGGCGAGCAGGGCGAGCAGGGCGGGCGCCGGGGCGCGCGCTTTCGGGCAAGCGACCGCTTCTTCCGGCCGAGGCCCCCGCGCCCCGCCGCTGCCCCTCTGCCCGCGGCCCAGTCGGGCCACCCGAGCACCCAGCCTGCGGCGCGGGGCCAAACCCGACCGAAGGCGGAAGACCTGAGAGGCAGGGAGGCAAGGAGCAAAGAGGTAGCCAGCCCCAGACAAGGAATCCTTAATTACAGAGTAAAGGCAAGCGAAACCGTGCACCACATTTTCCATGTGTCAGCTGACGGCAGCGACAAAAGGAAACACAGAATGCTGGGGGGAAGAAGGCCTGTCTACCCCCCCCCACCTTTATTAACAGTGGAAATGTAAAATACATTAGGTAGTGACTCTGGGTAGGTGGTGCCTTGGGCCAAATCGCAGCTGCTCGCTCCTCGCTCCTCGCTCCTCGTCGAGTAGGAGGACAGTTTGGTGATGCACCCAGAAGTCTGGGGAACCTCTTACAAAAAAAAAAAAGACTGTAAATACTCCGAGTAGATTTTGCTTCCTAAAAACTTAATTACTTACACATTTTTAAGTTTTAATATTTGGTGTTTATAGTGTTGCAATTCATTATCTTCAGTGAACTACCTCGCGCACGCGCGCGCGCACACACACTCGCACATTTTGTTTTGCAATTCTGTAGATTCCATTTTTTTCTGGCCTGATATCACAGCATTAGAAATACAGAGGAAAAGCCAAGCCGATTGAAAGCCAGGGAACATAGCTGCAAGCACCAGAGAGCACAAGGTCCCTCATGGTTCTGGGCTCTGGAGGAAAAAGATGTATGCGTTGATGCCCTTTCTCTTAATTCATTATGATCACAAAACAATTTCCACCGTGTCCCTGGGATTTAAGACTCCAGTTCAACTCCATGACGTCCTAAATTCTTCACAGGGGGTAGAAAAATGTTCAGAAGCCGAAGTCCACTCTGTGACCATCACAAACCTCTAGTTCTGTGCCCTCAATTTCTAACACAAATTAGAGACATGACCTTTGAGGGTCACCCTGAGGCACCAGGCATTGCACTTTTCTGTGTTTTCTTTCTCTTGCTGCTGGGTCAGCTTGAGAAATAGAGGAATTTGGCTTTGTTAGTAATGTTGTTTACTGATACAATTGATGCAGCAGGTTGGAGGCGACAAGACCACCTTGCTTAGTCATTTTACCACCCTTTCTCTTTGTAGATATTTTTCTGTCTTTTATTTGTAACTTTTCCACCAGTGCCATTTTCCCCACAGCATTTTAAAAAAATTCGAAGTGCTTTTCCATGTGGTTCCAGTTAACTGATTTGCCCACACCCCAAATAATGCTATTTGCATTCAAGATTAATAGCTGCATATCAGTAATTCTTAAATACATCCTGATCCATATTTTCAGTTTAAATGATTCTTACATTATTGGCCAGACAAATGCCTGAACGAGTAAGTCTGTGGACTGGTTACCAGCCAGATGACGGCAGCGTTACACTCAGGGAACACAGTTACAGTTTCTGCTCTAGTCCCTTCCACTGCAGAAGGCAGAGAGCCTTCCTTATTTGCCACCTTCCCCAGATGTGGTAGTAGATGAGCAGATTAATAAATTGCTGTAAATCACACTAAGTTGCAAGCCCTCCCCCCTTCTGGTACATATTTAGGAAAATCTTTTAAAATCTCCCTCAGCATCTAGTCGGATTTAGCCACACCCACTCCACATTTTGACTTTCTCCTTCAGTAAAATAAAGAAGGTGAAAGAGCAAATTAGGAGTTTTTCTTTCCCTGTAGCTTTCCAGTGTTTTGAGAGGATCATCCCGCTGTCGTTTTAGGCCAGTTTTGTTAGTTCGTGTTTTTACCACCCACCAAAGAACAGCACAGGATTGAGTTCATGTTAATAAATGATGTTCATGACTAGGTTTCTAAATGCCAGAGTTATGATTTATTTTTTTAAATGGGTGGAGAAAGGAGAGCGGCAATAAAACTAGCCCCTAAGTCACTCAAAATCCTTGGCTTCACACATCTATGTGGTTATTAATTTTTTTTTTTTTTTGGTCTTTTAAGTTTTGTCTACATTTCCTTTAAGTTCTACTATTATGGACTAAATATTTTTTGACCATTTACCTGTGTCCGTAGCTTCAAACCCTATGTTTATTATAGTTAGATTTATGAAAAGCATTACATGTTCCCCTTTTCTACTTTCTACATGTTTATAATTGTCCCTATTTATCCCCCATCCCCGTTAAGAATTTCACAATAAAATCCTGTACCAAATAAATTAAACTCTGCAACTTCAGACACCCCAGGAAGAAGACATTAATCCACTTAGTTGAATACCCAGACCTCCCCCTCTCAATTTCAGCTCTTCTTAATGTAACATTTAGGCACACAGCTGGCTCCTTAGACTTTCCTCCCTCCCTTTCATTCTGAATCATATTGGCCTTGTTTAACCTTCATTTCCTTTCCTACCCCCCCCGCATTTGTCCATGTACTTTTCTTTGACCACGTTTGTCTCTCTCTCTTTCTTTTTGCTACCCGGACGGAAAGCAATAAATATAGTTTTCTAAGACCTTAATACTTTCTGTTAAAATCCCATTCTCCCTCCCCATTCCACTATTAATGCTTTGCACAATTTTTATGCATCCTTCGTTGTGAAGTTACTGCTCTGTATTTTTCTGATTGATCATTAAGTTGTGCTGGCTTTTGAGAACTGCCTCCATAATCCCGAAGCAAAGTCTTTTTACTTGGCGTGCTCTTTGCCTTTGGAATGCCTTTCCTGGCAAGGACAGGCGTTTTGGTTTGACTATGATTCTTAAGTTACAATTCAAGGCTAATTTGTTCAGTTAGGTTTCTACTCTAAGCAGCTCTCTTTCTCACTGTTAAGTGCTCCATGAGGCTGCTTAGTTGAAGGGTGTGCTGTAAGCTCAAGATGTAATATATTTATATTGTACTTGATTATCAGTTTTCAAAAACAGCTGCATGCTTTGATATCTGTGTAAGGAAATATCAGAAGATAATATACCATTGGTATTTATTACTCTATAATTAAGGATGTGTCAGTGTTTCCTTTTTTAAAAAAACCCCTATTTTCAGAAATTCATATCTCAGGCATAAATTTCCCTATGAATTACAGTCTAATACCATATTAGAAGTATCTCCTTTTTAAGTTATCCCTCCCCTTCCTTTTCTTTCTAGGGAAATAAGTTTCAGGATGTAATTTCTGGTTTACTATCTGGGATGAGAGGAAGCAAGCCCTATGTTGCACAATTAAAGGTGCTTCTGCCACTGATGCCACCTGCTCCCTCTGCCCTAGGCCCCTTGCACCGGGCGAGATCATGGGGGCTGCCTTTTGGATAAAGGGCCAGCCTTCTATCTATTTGATAGGCAACTTCTCCTTGTATGATGCGAAAGGCAATAAAGAAGACTCAGCTGTTCAGAAACATCACAGGTAACCACAAAGTCCGAGATTTTAGGACCAGGAATCAATCCTTTTGCATTCCTCTTCTCATGGTTACTTAGACTACAAATGCAGCCAGGCCAGGAGGAACATGAAATAAATCTATAGTCAGGTACTAGCAACATTTTCATCTATATTTCTTCTGATAGTATACTGAGAAGCAGGAGAAGGAGGGAAGGGGGAAAAGATGGACAGCCAGATATGTTCCTCTTCCCCTCCTTTAAGGGATGGTCTTGACCAGTTGAATTGACCACAACCTCCTGAAAGAGGCTGAGTTCTAGACCCACCATGGGACCCAGAGCAACTCAACCTCACCTCAGCCCTCAGTTTCCCCACAGCTAAAATGGGGACGTTACAAAATAAATGCTTACCAGCAGGGCCAGGAAATTTATGTGATGTATAAGTCCAGCAGGGTGTAAGGCCACAAGGAGTGGCAGGGGCCTGGGATGGATGTAGAGACACAAAGACTCCCTACAGGCATAATAATGGTCATAATAAAAACACTTAATGGCGGGATCAATTGGGAGATTGGGATTGACATGTATACACTAATATGTATAAAATAGATAACTAATAAGAACCTGCTGTATAAAAGTAAATAAATAAAAATTTAAAAACATAAAAACACTTAAAATATCAGCAACGCCACAGGACCTCTCGTTCGCCTTCTATAACCAACTGCGTGGGCCACCCCCTGCTGCCCTTTGCACTCTCCTAGCTGGTGAGGGGAGAAACAGTAGGGAACCAGGGGTTCCCAGTGAGTCACAAGCACTGAACTTCGTGCTTCCTGAAAGACAGGTGGGTGACAATGACACTATCCCATGCAGGGAAAGACTTACACAAAACATCTTTCTGTTTCTATAAGGCAGTCTGGCTCTTAAATAAGCCTTAATACGATGCCTTAATTTTCTTGCTTGTGAAATGATGACAAAACATTACATTTTCAAATATAAAGGACTTCAAATTCTCGAGAAAAGTGTTACATACGTACTTCTAGTAGAAATCATATCTTCTAGCGCTCCATCTTAGGTCTGCTAGTTAAATGCAGTAACTGATAGCACAGTAAACATTTTAGATTATCTCTCAGCAGACATCAGTTCTTTATATCAGTTTATGGGAACAACGATGAACCTGTCCCTAGGGTTGAAAGTCATTACCACAGAGATATGGGAGAGAATAAGGAATCACTAAAGTGGTGATAAGTGATGGGAGGACCCCTGAAGGTACTGACCCCTAATTCCAATTTAGGAAAATGGGCCAGAGGATGAGTGGGGATCCTGAGGTCATACGTAACTCAAATGCAGCTAGGGCATCCTGAAGATACTAGGAGGACTCCTTTCATGGCAATGAAAGTCTTGTGTCTTAAAGAGGAAAGGGGACAGGTAACAGTACAGGAAGTGGGCAGAGCGGTTAGCAGCTCAGACAGCTCTGTGCCCTACCACAGAGCTCTGAATTTTTCAAGATAAAAAAAGACAGGCTGATATAACAACTTCCTACATCTTCCTCTCTTTACTCTTCAAAAGGGAGTTTGTTGAGCTATAGTTTTCCATCTTATATTTATAATGCCACAGGCATTAGTTAGAAATGGTGACCAGCAGCCCCAGGAAAAAGGAACCCACAGACAGTCAAGTTTTTCTTCCTAGGTATGGTTTGTTTCAGGGTCAAGGTTAGGTCCTTGGCTCCAAGTAAGCAGAGGAAACTCTTCTCATGCAAAACTGGCAGCTAGGGCAGTTTCTTTCACTGCCTGGAGAAAAATGGTTTTCTGACTCCATCAATAGTTTAGAGTCGAGAAATGTTAAGAATGGTGCAGTAGCAAAGTATTTAGAGCTCTTATATTATACATGGTGACCAAAGTATCTATAGCTCCTATCAAAAGGTATGTCCAATAATAACATTTAGGACATGTAAAAAGTCATAAAGGGTAGAAATAAACCTTTGTGTGCTATGACCCAGCTTAAGATTAACTGTACAGTAAGCACGCCTCTCCCAGTTATATGTCTGGTCTTCCCACCATCACTCCTCTGACTTAATCAT